GCGTTGTTAACGTAACAGTACAATGGACGTTTCAGAATAAATAGTTTAGCAAGAATAGTGAATATGAAACGCGTAAAATTGGATCACAACGTAGAGGTTTTTTTTGCAGAAAGTGCTAAATAGGAAACAAATTGCAGAGACAGGAACTAAATTGCGTATAAGGAAATAAGCAAAAGGAACATAAATTAAAATGTGGAAAGATAAATGTGCAGAAATGTAAATGTACGACTCCTCACAATAGCGAATAACGGCCACCGTGAGTCTCCTTGTAGTTGGTGTTTAGCACGGTGCAGGGTTTCAGCGTGCAGAGGTTTTATGTGCAATGTCAGGGTGCAAAAAGTCGTCCCTTGTAAAATGCTACTTTAGAGTATTTATAGGCAGGAGGACCACCACCGTTCTCCTCCTTTTGCGGGCACTACTTAATAACTACCTTCAACTATTGATGCTCATTATTCACGATTACTTGTGATCGTGCTGTTAGTTGGGGCTTTTTTCGTAACCGCTATCGCCCACGATCTCCTTTGCCTAATGGTAAATGTTGATGACTGTTGGTAACCACTTTTGAATTTTGCAATGACTTGACCTATCAAGACTTTTGTTTTTCTATCTTTCGAGTGTTTCTGGGAGAAATCTAATAGACTCATTTAGTGTTATGGCCTTAGAATAATTTTTTTTTGACTTCTCTTTTCGACTAACTCTGGAGTTTTGAGAGCTTGTCTTAGTCTTATGGACTTAGAATATTTTCTTTACTCATTTCTATTTTTTGAGCAATTCTGGAGTTTTGAAAGCTTGTCTTGGTCTTGTGGACTTAGAATATTTTCTTTGCTCATTTCTATTTTTCGAACAATTATGGAAGGACTCTGGAGCTCAATTAGGCTGGCAAACTTAGAATATTTTTTTACCACTTCCTGTTTTCCGAGCAGTTTTGGGTGTCAAGGACTTGGAAGCTCCTCAAAACTCTTCGAAAAGGTCATCAGTTTTGTAGACTTCGAATATTTTCTTATTAGTCCTGTTTTTTGAACAGTTTTTGGTGTCATGGACTTGAAAACTCCTTAAAACTTCTCGAAAAAACCTTCAATTTTTTGGACTTGGAATATTTTCTTATCTTTCAAGCAGTTTAGCTATGTGACAAAAACCTCTAAACTAGCTCGAAATGTGTCCCTTTGATAAAAGGTCTTGGGCAATCTTCCAATACTCTTTAGGTTCAGGCCTATTTTTTGGCTCCTTCCTGACCTTCTAAAACTTATCGAAATGTAGCTTCCTTCAAGATGATTTTTAACTTAGAAAATTTTCCTTATCCCAAACAACAAAGCAACAAGATTATAATTTTGACATGTTAAATATGTTTTTTTATTTATTATTTTCTCTCATTATTTATCATTTCATGTTAAATTAATTAAGCGCAAATGTGCAATGTTGCAATTCTTTTTAGGCTTAAGAAGACTTCAATCGAGTTTAGATTTCAAAAGATTTAAAAGTATAAATTAGTAGTCGACCGAATAAATGTTTTTAACTCTCGTTTTTTCATTTGATTGACTTAATGTTGATTCGACAAATTCTATACTTATTTTTATTTGTGGGATTCATCAGTTTCTAATGATTAGTTTTTATTTGCTCACCTTATTACTATCACATGCTTTTGATTTGTTTGTCATACATTAGAAAAAAAAATCTTATCTCTAATTGTGAAAACACATGCTTTTGATTTGGTTGTCAAACATTAGAAAAAAATAATAATCTTATCTCTAATTGTGAAATTGTATTTTAGAACAATCCCAAATGTTTTGAAAGGGTTTGTTGTTAATGATAGGTTAAAATATAAAATTTTACTGTAATTTTCTTTATAGGTTAAAATATAAAATTTAACTATAATTTTCTTTTGAAATAGAAATTTGAATTATATAAGTTAGATTGAGAAGAGGAAATTAGTCAAGATTTAAGAGTTTTTATGTGCCATAAAGGTTTAAATGATTTTTTAAAGTGATGATGTAACAATTTTAGCCTTACAATATAAAAGAAATGAGAAATCCAAACATTTTAAGGAGAAAAGTACTTAAGAAAACAAATCCAACTAAGTTTGGGAAGCTAGATATTTCTATGTGATTTGAAAGATATCATGAATTTAGGTGCAACATCAAAAGTTGTAAGAATCAACTTATTTTTTCTTCTATTTGCTGGAAAAAAATACACCACAAAATAAGCATTTTACGATCATAGTATACTAGTGGAAAAAACATAAAGGTATAATCATAGAGCAATTGTTTTTAATAATTATTTAGATTTTTCACTTACAATTTTTATTTTTGGTGTATATGAATTAGCTTGTTTTTGGTGGACCTATAACTTTTTTTTGTTGCATGTGTCCTTTTATGTTTAGGAAAATGTTAATCTCAATTTTAAAGTTAGATTTAAGAAACTAATAATAATAAAACTTTATTCAAATATTTATTATATTTTTATAATTTTAATATGATAATGTATTTTTTAATAAAAATTATTAGGTTTAAATAGTATTATAGTCCCTATACTATACTCCATTTTGTAAGTTAGTCACTATATGTAAAAAATTTATATATTAATTCTTAAATGTACATTTATTCTTTATTTTGTCGTTACGTTATTTAAAATCACGTTCACTTTCTTTTTACGTGGCTAATGGTGATATGAAGTGGGTCTTTAACTATAACTTTTCGAAGGACCATTTATCTCCCTCATCTATTCCTAATCTTTCTCTCGCAAGAAACAAACCATGCTTATAAGTAATCCTCCTTGAAAGCATCATCAATCATGTCAAAATCGAGAACAAAAACAATATTGGTGAACGACTGTGGCAATTTCAACATCTTCCTCCAATGCATGTAAGAAACCTAAACATCCAAAACTATATTAACAATATGTGGTGCTTTGTTTTATACTTTAAAATATAATAACATACACATTCAACTATTTTAGTATTATTTTTTGTGTTAACTTTAGCTATCATGATGTTTTCAATAACATGGCCATTGCCTTCAATGTTTACTATCTACTTGTATTATGGGGTTCACATTTTGAAAGCGCTAACAAAGAGGGAAAAGTATTGCCTAACTTATGTTGTAGGGTTAACATACACAATGTCTAATTGTGATCCTAATAAATGGTACGTGTAAGAAATTACTAGAGTTTTAAGTGGTTAGGGTACAAAGGCAATGTGTAGATCTTTTATCACAAGCCTAGAATCCGTCTTGTTGAAAGTTTGGTAAAGGTGTATAATGATAAAGAAGCAATGAAAGTAGCTGACCTGCTATAATATTATCGCTCAAGAGTGAAAGTTTATATTGCGCATTTAGGGGTTCATGGTGATTATAACACCCTCTTTTTTTTATTAATCGTCTATTTGTCATTATTTATTGCTAGTTTTTCTTTTGAATTAAACTTATTGAGTAATGAAATTCTTATGAAAAGAGCATATGATGAGTACAAAATAATGAAAGAAGTTAGTGTGAATAGAATATAAAGTTTGGAGATGATATTGGAAATCTGGGAGAAATGTAGGGTGGTGAACGACATTCATATATATGTATATACTCATTTCTTGACTAGACTCCTGATTATACCTTTGTTAAAGAGTTCGTTATTGTATAAGTTAAATTCGTGTGCATAGGCTAACCAATGCCTATTTACCTATCTATGTAAGACCTTAAGAAGTGCTGAAAACATCAAATATTTGTGATCACAGTGCACAAAAAAGTGCATATTGCAGAGAGAAAAGTGTAGTGATTTGTGATTGAGTGTGTATGATTTTGTGAAAATTGCTGAAGAATTTGTTTGTGTGTTTGAGATGGCAATATTTCCTTTTAATTCATGAGTAAAGTTATGTTATGGTCTTTATTAATGAAATTGTGTTATGTTTAATGATGAGAAAGATGTTTATCCTTACTAAATATTTCAGGAAACAATGATGACTAAATCTCGAGGAGTAATTAGACTAGTAGACTATCTTATAAACTGTAGGTTAAACTATGTATTTAGGAAGTATTAACGCATATGTTATTTTAAATTTATTGTAGAATATAATAATGAAGTAAGGGATATTTCTACCTTGAAAATGACATTAGATTATAGTGTTCATTTCGACTATCCTGTAAATAATAGGATTCGCCACACTATTAGTATATTTATTTATAGAGGGACAGTCAAAACTCTAGCAACTGCAAATTATGTTTATACTTTCCTTTGTTGCAAAAATATATTTTACCTCAACTTATATTTTCATAACTGACTAGAGCTGAGGGACAATTACTTTAGGGTCAAACCCTCCAAATCGCTCCCACAGATAAAATATCTCTCTCTATTATCACTAATATCATCTCATACTAGTAGCAAGCATGTCAAAATTATGATGATCTAACCGTTGTCTAATACAATCATATAACCATGTCCTAACACATGACAACTTTATTTTAAATTGTCGTCCACTACTATACAACAATCAAAACGCGTACACACATTTAACGGGCTATAACATTTATACTAGACGACAAAACCTAGAACACCTATATATAAAAGAAGAATCCTCTTAATACAAGTATATTTTTTACTCTAATTGAATCCTATAACTAAAACAAATTTCTTTAACTTGAATGTTGAAGTGTTTTTTTACACGAACATCTTTTATTAAATTTGATAAAAAGTTTTAATCAATGATCAACTACCAAAGGAAATCGTCTATCCTGGAAGTTTTACCTACCCTGGTCAATCAAAACTTACCAAAAGGCATAAACTAAAGCTTTATACATGTACATAAATGAAATTTCAAACAAAGAAATTAACACAGAAGACGTTTTCTATTTCCAACATTGGGCTTTGTTAGTTCCCTATATTTTGGGTTGGGTCTATGACGGGCAAGCAAAAGCCAAACATTGTTTTCACACCTTCCATTTTTTCTATGGATAAGGATTCAGTGCAGTGCAGTTAATGCGGGAACAAAACTGTCCTCTTTTTTTTTTTTTTGCCTAAGTGGTGACTATTTGCTTAAGTGTGAAGCTTCAGCCCCTTTCACGTTCCCTCAGATCTCTTTTCCTTCACTCCTTCTCAATCCCCTCCATCACTACTCAGCCTCCTCCCTCTCAGCTCCTCACCTCCGTCCACCCTCATCCCCACCTTCACTCTCCCTTTGAAATTTTCCTTCTGATACGATAATTCAAGGAATTCTATTATTCAGAACACAAAAAATTGTGAATTGTTATGTAAGTCTCTCCTAAAAAACCTATTATTCTCCCTATATATAGCTACAGAGTAACTAATAGAAATCACTCCCTGCTAATCTCTCCTATTTATTCTTCAATCCAATCCCTATTTATTTTCTCACGATCGCTATTTATTCTCTCCTATCATTACCCACCGTTGAAGAACATCATTGTCCTCAAGGATAAAAGGAAGGAAATCGCTACAAAAGATTGTAGTAAAACTCTCATGTGGCATCCTCCGGAAGTTGATGTTTCCATTTTAACAGAACTTTAGTAACAACCTAGTTGCCTCGCTTGACAGTCATTCTATCCAAGATAGATTCTGGTTCACGGGAAGCAAGGCTTGCATTAGTACTGGCAGGAAGAACTGTAGTAATAACCACAGTGTCGATATGTTTGCGTAATTGAGAAACATGAAAAACATTATGAATGCAAGACTCAGCAGGAAGTTGAAGTCTGTAAGCCACAACACCTATGCGATCCAGCACCTTGAAGGGGCCATAAAACTTAGGTGCCAATTTAGCATTAACCCAATGAGAAACAGAAACTTGACGACAGGGATGAAGCTTAACGTAAACAAAATCTCCTAACTGAAACTGTCGATCACTGCGATGTTTATCGGCCAACTGCTTCATTCGATCTTGAGCTCTTCGGAGGTGAAATTTCAGCAGCTTTAACATCTCCTCGCGCTTGGTTAAACTTCTGTCAACTAGCTCAATCTTCAAATCACCAAGATAAGGTAAGTAGGCTGGTGGTGGCTACCCGTAGACTATTTCATAAGGGGTGGCGTGGATAGAAGTATGGTAGGTTTCGCATTGATAGATCCATTGATTGACGTTCTCACCGTTGAATCTTGGAAAGTCGATCCTTGCCAAGTAGGTGCCACACGAGTAGATTGGTTGATTCCCTTTCGCTTGTTTGTCTTAGGTACTATTGTTATGCGAAGTGCATTTGGTCTCAGGTAGTTTCTTTAAAGAGTCGTTGATGTTCTGTCATAACAAATCTTCCAAGGTCTTTTGCATGGATCCTGCGATTTCCATCAACTTTGCTTCCATGCGTGCGATGATTTTGTTCTCCAAGCGCTCCTCCATCTCCGTGTGACTCCATGTCCCTGCTGCCATGGATGTTGAGTGCTAGGAAGGTCAAAGCTGATACCAATTAATATGATAATTCAAGGAATTACAAGAACTCGATGAACTATAGAGAAATAGGGAATCCTGAGACGAAAAAAGGATTCCAAAATTCTATTATTCAGAATGGAAGTATAAAAAATTGTGAATTGTTATCTAAGTCTCTCCTAAAGAAACCTATTATTCTCCTTATATATAACTGTAGAGTAACTAACACAAAATCACTCTGCGCTAATCTCTCCTATTTATTCTCTCACAATTGCTATTTATTCTCTCCTATCACCCTCAGTCCCTCCCTTTCCTTCCCACCTTCACCCTCACATTTCTCCTTCCCCTTTCTCTCTAAGATCTCAGCTCTCCTCCTCTTTTCCACTCCTGTTCCCTCTCACTTTCAAATCACAGTCTCCCCTCCCTCTTAGATTTTAGTGAGGCTCTTCTACATCTCAACTTCGCCTCCATCCTTCTCAAATCTCAACTCCATTTCTTGTTTTTCCCCAACCCCACCTCCACTAATCTCAACCATCTCTTCCATTTGCAAAACCCAGTCCAGACCCTCCTGCATTTGTAGAAAATTTTAGATACCGCTTAAGCTGGTCAGAATCGCTTAAGCAAATGTTAAACTGGACCGTCCTGTTCGTGCGTGAATAGGAGCAGATTCGGATCCAAATTCTTTTTTCTATTTGTACTCTCGCCATTATTTAATTTTTTTTATTACGAAAATTAAATTTTAAAAGTGATTTATAAATTATTTCTTGGAATTTAATTTTTAAAAAGTATTTGAACACATTCCAATAATCTAATTCTTAAAAGGAAAATTATAAATGACTTCTGAAATTAACTTTTTGAAATATATTTTTTTGTCAAGATTTTTAAACGAATTTCTGAAATTAAATTTTTTTTGGTCGATGAAATTAAAATTCTGTAAAAAGAAATCCCCGCAAAAGCCGTGTTAATCCTAACAGTGGCCCATTGAAAAGCTGGCCCAATTCCATTAGTTGCATTTGTTGGAAACGAGCTTGGATGTTGAGGCTGCTTCGACGTAGGATGGGATATCCAGATGAGTTAATTTAAAATAAATAATATTTTTTTGTTATATTAAAAAACATTACAGCTCTTTGACAAAATTTAAAATTTATTTACTCAATTAAAGTCTAACTAGAGGGCACAAATCATCTATGTTTCTGATTAAGTTCACTTGAACCAGAGAGTATCCCAGGACTATTGGATGATATTAAAATCTCCTGCAGACTAATGGGAAGTGAATCATATTTATCAGGAACCAACTAATTTTGACAATTAATTTTAAGATTTTTTACTCAAAGAAAATGCAATAATGTTCGGCCTGGCATGATTAAATGTTTTGCAACAAATATTAGGTTTAGCCAATTCATGCTTTTAATGAAAAAAAGTTCTATTTTTGGTACAGATTATTCAACCGTATGACATGCAAATGGATAATTTTTCATCAAATAAAGCTTTTGAAGGAAAAAAATAAGAATGACAAAATAAAATCTAAAATCTTTCTTTTTCTCTTTAGATGTCGTTAAACGAACGAAATAAAAATTGTAAATTACATGACGCAAAGGCCAAAATTAGCTTTTGCTGGGTACAAATTCGAAGACAATTCTAGAATTTCTAGTACAATCAGATTTTCCAATGTTCTTTATTTTCAAGAACTAGATCATTCATGCAACTACACCTAATTTCACTCCCAGAGGCATTCCCTTCATTTTACTCCTTCCGAGGTGCGTGTTTAATAAACACGAAAAGGATACAATGACGATAAAACAAAGATCATTACGAAAGCTAAGTTCATGCAAGATGAAAACTATACTAAGAAAATAACTAAATCACCAAACCTAAAATATGGTAACGCATGCGTCGTTGAGAGCTCAGCATGTATGAGAGAACTTGAATCCATGTGAAATCTGTGCAGGAAAGCAAAATAAACAATCAAACAAGCATTATTACAAAATGTAGCTTGGGTGCCAAACTATCCAAACAAGTACAGGACTCCGATCCTTTTTTCTTCCATTATTTCCTATTCATATTAACCTTGCCAAGCAATTCCAATTATTCTGCTGATCAACCATAGTTTGCATTATTTCAAAAGCATTAATGGAAGAACAATATGAGAAGGAGGAGAAGGCTGAGGAAAAATAAAATAAAATAAAATAGCACAAATCAGACCAAAGACAACACCCATTCATATCCCTATGGAAACCTTGGCAGAGAGGGGCTACTTATTGTCCAGAATACCACAAGTTAGCATTCATCTTTGAGGGGGATCAACTGTGCGGACATTTGCAACGGTCATTCCCTCAATTCGGTCCTTGGTGATTTCCACAAAGTGACCAACAATTTCATGAAACTGCTTGAGCCCTGACAGGGGAAGAATGATGGAGGATCGATCAGAACCTGCAACCTGCAATGAAGTAACAAGAATTTACAGTAGAAAATTCTCTTCCCACATTATAACTAAAATCAAGGAAAAGGACAAAGAAATGACAGCACACCTCAGATATTCTTAAGAAATGACCCCTATTATTGCTCCCGAGATCAAAGAAGAATCTTTTCTGATCAGCCCTAATCACTTTAGAGACCCCCAAGTTCCCAATTTCATCCTGAGCAGGCAAATCAACAGATCTGTCCACATTCAACTCAGAAGAGGTGGCAGGTTGACTACTATGACCAGATATGAAGCCAGCACCAACATCATCCGAGAGTCCAACAATTCGCTCTGAGGATTCAGAATTTTGCTGTTGCAAAATGCAAACAAGCAAATAAGAAACAGATCAAATAAACCAACTTAAATTATCGTGTCAAAGCACGAGAAAAAATGATCAATTGCAAAAGAAGGAAACCTGATTGGGTAGAATGAAAAGCCTTGAGGCTTCGTTGATCTCTGCCAAAATGTTCCTGAATGCTGCCCACCCTTCATCCCTGGAGCTTCCAGCAGGAACAATTATAGTGCTACGATTTCTGCTGACAGAAGCTTCAGACACCTTCAAAAAATAAATAAAAATCATAATCTTGAGAGCAAATAACATACAGGCAGATATTCTTCATGAGATAGAAATTACACAATAAAAGTAAATATATAAGCCCAAAATCATGAAAAACATAACAGCTTTTTATGAGGGACTTCATATAGCTTCATTTGAACATTCTTGGCTGATAGGAAGCATCAATTACAAGAAGTTTTTGCAAAAGATTGTACAGGTGTTACTTAAGGATCAAGTTTGGCCAAATTCAAATGCAAATATGGACCTAAATAAAAGATAGAGGAATTACAGAATATTGTACTTGAAAGCATAGCATTGTCTACTTGTGCAGATTGGTTTTTTACTATTTACTGTTCTTTCTATGTTCCACTGAAATGCATAGTTGCATCCTTTAAAGTTTGCATTTGTTTAATTGTTTGGGGAGAATAATAAATGCTTTTACACTAAAATTACAAACAATTTTTCACTGTGTAACAACTAACAACATATGTAAAAACAGACAGCACCCAACAATGCTAACATGGAAAAACTTCAATACAAAATGATCCGCTCTTCAATGCTTTTTTCACCTTTCCTACCCTCACACTGACATTGTAAGCACTTCAGTTACACAAGGGCAGGCATTAGATATGAACAATAATTTGGCAATAAGAATAAAAAGGGACATAGAAGATACCCCCTAAATACTGAATTTAGAAGATTTTATACAGACAAGATAATATGTCAATGTCTAAACACCGTGTAGAAAATAAACAAGTGCATGTTTGGTTTAATTTATTTTGAAGAAATCATTGTTTTTCTTTTTTAAGTTTCTAAGAGAGCTTTTGAAGCAAAAAATATCATTTCCCCATAAATAATATTTCCAAAACAAACACAGAATTCCTTTTGATTAGTTCAGAATACTATTTGGAGGAGAAAGAGGGCAATAAAAGGTTGATGTATCATTGTATTGAACATAGAAATTGCAGAGTAAACAATTCTCTGTGCATAAAATAAGGACTTTGATTTGATTTGTACAAGTTGGAGGATAAGAGAGTATCTGTAGAAAGCCAAAGTTGATGACAATTTTTGGAATTACAACCAAAACAAAACAATCGAACATCTAAACTAAGTTTCAGAAGTCAATCCTAAGATAAATCAGAAATTCTGCTACAGTATGACTTCTGCACGAACTTACTTGTGTTAAATTCTCTATTTCTCATTGTACACAGGGCTTGACCCGCACAGCCTAAGCGATACAAATCCAACTTTATAGGAAAGCTCTTTGTTTACAATACTATCAAAACAATTCTACTCAAAATCTGCAAAGAACAATTTATTCTCTCTATCCACCACTATGACAAGGAAGGCTGTCCATTCCAAGAGCTTACAGGAGTTTTATTCATTTCAAGCAACTAAGTTAGGATCGTCTAAAAGATCCCCAGCATTAACCACACAAACCAAATTAACATTTATGTTTCCCTTTTCTAATCTTGACAACAAATCCTCACTCAAAACCCTAACGTTATTAACACCCCAACTTGTTATGCATTAGGCTCTTCCTCATGAATAAACAAGTTGTAAATGGTAAGTACTTCAAATTTCTCCTCATGTGGTATCATCATTTTCTACCTCTTTTACACATGCATTGGGTTAACCAACACCCTAACTGTCGCAATTAAATTTCCTTACCACTCACAAGAAAACATATATGCTTAAAAGGCCGACATAAGACTCTTCAAAGCCTAGATATTTCGATCTTCATTCAATGACAATATAGAAAGGCTTTTCTACAAATGCAGTCAGAGTCTGAGTGTGTATAAACCATATTTAAGCTTAAATTCAGACATAGATACAGACACACCCCTATTCTAATTCATTTAAAAGATAAGTAAAGAATTCCTAGAAGGAACCATTATTTTGATAAAGCCAACACAATCCTATTAACCATTTCCCACCAAAAATATCAAAACAACATAGAAAATGCAATGACAGAACACTAAACAAACACAACGTTGAAAACCAGTGCCAACATACCCAATAAGGTGAGAGAAGTTATCTAATGAAGTTAAAAGCTTCCGACGCACTGATGACATAAAACCTATAGCTATTGAAGCCAACGAAGATATTAAAAATTCAAGCATCAGAGAAGGAGAAAGAGAGTTAAGCTTAAGAACCTTTAAGAAACGCCCCCTCCGATTCTCCCCAATGTCGAAATAGAAAACCTGGAGGAAGAAAAACGAAGAAATTAGAAACGAAAAACGCTACGGAGCGAGAAAGAGGAAGAATTAACAGTGTTACCTTAGTGTCGAGTTGCAATTCCTTGCTGAAGAGGTCTTGATCGTCGGAATTAACGTAGTAATTGAAGAGATCGAGGAACCAGGAAATGCCAGAGAAGGGAACGATGATGGTGGACCTCGTAGCAGAAGTCTTCTCAGAAATCTTAAGGTAACGACCGCGAGGGTTCTCCTTCAGATCGAAGTAAAACAGCTTGTGCTCCACCTGCAGCGTTTTGCAGAGCAACTCCACGTCGTTCCCGCCACCGCCACCACCACCACCACCGCCACCGCCGGAGTTCCCCTCCATCTCCGCCGTTAACCGATTTCGACGCCGAAACAGATCTGACTAACAATCGCTTCGGAATCGCATGAGCCTCTCTGCAACGCAAATCCTCTTAGGGTTTGCGAGTTTTCACGGCGTGAAGAAGAGCAACGATTGTAACGGCTTCGTTGACGGTTAGAGAAGAAACGGAGTCATGTTAATCGCGCGGTGTGAGATTGAGACTGCACTGAAGTGAGTGGTGTTAGTTCGGGTTACAAAGACGTTTTCTTCTATGTGTAAACGTTAAACAAAGCCTCTCATCCCTTCGCAGACCCATTTGATGTGATCTTTTCACCCCACAAGTCAATTAGTAGCCATTGGTAATTACTGGATTTGCAAGTTTCTCATAATAATTTCTTTCAATTTTGTCAAAAAGTGGGCGAAACGATGGCCATTTTTTAAATCAAACAATTGCATGTTTAAGATATTGTTTAATTAAAATGCTTAATTATATCTCTGCGAAGAATCACGGTTACATTACATGTTTGACTGGATTTATAGAAGAATTTGCTCTTATGGAAATTGCATGTCAGAGTCAGACACGCACACACAAAATAAGTTTAATTGTAATTTTAGATTTTAAACTTTATAGCTTAATTTGGGTGTAATTTTTGTATCGTATTTTAGTTGTATAAGTTTAATATTTTAAATTTTCAATTGATAAAGTTGGATCCCTTATCCCAAATTTTGTCTAACCATTAATGGAAATGTGATATAGACATGCAATGTAGTATTTTTCCTTTTTGATTCGGCAAAAAAATATATATTTCATTGACTATTTAGTAAGTAGTATCTAAACGTTAATTTATTTATAATTTTTATTTTTAATTATAACTCTTTATATTTAATTTTAATTTTAAGCCAATATATTAAAAATGTCCTCATTTAAAAATGTTGACTCACATTTTATACATATAAAAAAAATTTAAATATTTTATTCTTAAATTTCCTTCTTTTTTTTTCCAGTTATACGTTATCAATTTCACTTAGCATGACAAAATCATTTATAACTGTGGATGAAAATCAAAATAAGAAAAATTTGGAAATGGATTTGTTTTACTTTTTTTATATTTATTTATTAAACGGATTAGGAATGGATTTCACATTAAATTATTAATAAGTATTTGATACACTAAATGACTCAAAATCTATCTAACCTTTTTATCAATAAAATTTTATTTTATTAATCCTGTCATTTATTATTTTTAATATTTTAATAGATATCTATAAATATTCATAGATATCTATGGTATTCATTAAATTTGAAGTAACATAGAATGCAAGAGAATGAGAACTACCTAATTTAATTTTTATATGCTAAAAAAATTAAATTAATAGTACCAAAATTATACTTGAATTAAAATATGGATTAGTAAGAGTAATTTACCTAGTTAAAAAAAAATTGCTACATCACCCGTCTCCGTCACTCTTTTATGAAATAATTAAATTAGATCTAGGTCATTCAGAAAAAAAGAAAATCTTTTTAGTGTTAAATTAGGTGAATGTGTATATATTTTTTTTAGTACATGGATGGGGATAAAAGTCCAAACTAAAAACCTCTAAAAAAAATAAAACAGCTAACAAATCAACAAGTAAAGCAAAACAGATCCAAGATAGAGAAACCGAAAAAATAGCAATTCTATCCTGCAAACTACGGCCATGCTTGACTAGAAGATCCGTGACTTGAATTGCCTCTCAAAAGATATGAGAGCAAGATACCTCATGGTTATCACCAACAATGTGAACTATCTTGTTCACCAAAGAATAGCTAGCATGAGTACGATTACATCCTTCATTTAAAAACTTTACTGCCAAAGCAGAATTAGTCTTCACCCAAATGGTTCCATTCCAACTCATTTCCCGTAGCAGTTTAATCCCATAATAGATAGTCCAAAGCTCTGCTTGAACCACTGAGCAGCTACCCAAATCACCCGAAAAAGCCATGATAAATTGTCCATTATGGTCCCGTGCAACACCACCACACGAAGCAATCCCGTTACTAACAGCTCCATCACAGTTAAGCTTGCATGAGTCCTTTAGTGGAGGAGACCAACGAATTACACATTGTTGCATTGATGCGTCAAACATGTCACGTGAATAGCCACTAAACCCCACGTGGCAAATTTCATTAGTTTTCCCTTTAATCTGAAAGATCAACTGAGATATATCTCCCTCCTCATTACAAAACACTACTCTATTCCTCCAACACCAAAATGCATCCACGGCTACAGCAAATAAAACCCCCCGACTCGATTATATTTGATAGCTATAAGATAAATTTGCTAAAACTCAATCACACACGTAATGATAACAAAAAAATTCAGGCATCATGTGGCCCTGTAACAGCACATTCCATAATCTGATCACCATAGGATAATCACGTAAAATGTGCATGATTGTTTCTATATGTGCATGACATAACCGGCACATCGCACATTCTGTTAAACCTCTATGTAACTAAAAACAATTTGTGACTAAGCTAGCCTGGGCAGCACGTCAAAGGAAAAGCAGAACCTCTCTGGAGCGTGCTAGCGAGTTATATCACGAAAAACCTGTGAGCATGTGTACTCCCATGACCTCGAACCACACTGTAAGCACTTCACATAGTGAATTCCCCATTTGAAGAACCAAGCCATGCAACCTCATCACCATCCTCACCCAAAGATGGAGACACTAATTCTTCAATAACAAGCACACCTCTGTCGGTAGAAAAGCTTCAATATCTTGCAGCTTCCAATCACCCTGATCATTAATATCGTCAGCCACAGGTTTATATTTTTTTCACTAACGGAACAGACCCTATTGTAACATCAGCTAAACATGATATACTTGAAATCTAATGATCCAGCCAAAACTTCACATGAGTACCATCTCCAAGTCGCCGTATTAAATTTTGAAGCACCAATGGCCATACTGAACACATTTCTCTCCACACATTGGACGCACTCTTCGGGGCATTCAACCTCGGGATCCTCTCCGTTCCACACTTATATTTTGCACTCAAAATCTTGACCCACAACTTGTTTGAGCAAGTGATAAACTCCCAACAATTCTTCATCATAAACAAGGAATTCATATTCTGCCTACTCCTTATATTTAACCCTCCTTTCAACCTAGGTTTGCAAATAGCCTGCCAAGCTATTGCATACATGCGGTGCTTGTTCTCCTAGTCGTCCCATAGAAACCTTCTGTAATGTTTATCCAACTCATCACACAATTGTCGAGGCAAGAAGGCAAATTGCATGAGGTATGAAGGAAGAGCTAAAAGAACTGACTGAATTAAGGTAACTCTCCCCGCAAAGGATAAAGTCTTGATTTTCCAGCTACTAAGCCATTGTTTGACCTTCTCCACAAAACCCTTGAACAATACACTATTAGCTCTCCTATGATGGATAGGTACACCTAAGTATTCTTCCAAGTTGTCTGTTTGTTGAAATCTAAACATGTTGCTAATTCCTTCACGAAATCTCCATGAAACATTTTTTGAAAAGTGAATTCGTATTTTGTCTTGACTAATCTCCACTTGATCCACATATGCTTCAGCAAACAATAACAAGTGATGATCGCAAAGATTTGTCGCTAATTCTCATCAAAATTTACACAGAAATTAATGTAATATTAGGGTGTTAACCTAGATCGTCCTCTTGTGACTTAGTAGATGAGTGATCAAATATCAAACATGTAGTATGCAATATATTCAGTAAACAAGTGAAAAGGGAGGTTTGTGGTTTCAAGTCTAAATTACTCAATCAGAAAATTAAATTACAAAGTTTAATCAATAGAATATAATAACCCCTAGTTTGTGCATATAGACTCTTTCCCAATTCCTCTTAAGATTTAATGCTCTATCATTTTTCCTAAATTAGGTCAATTCAACAAGTGAAAATTAACCTTAAATTTTCATACAAAATTAAGCAAATCAGTGGGTTCTAATCTCTAATCCTTAGAATTAAACCCAGAATAAAAAAAAATCAAGTTCAAAACCTCCATTAAAAATGAATTAAAAGTTGATTAAGCAACACCCTCTCATTCAATTCTTAACTTAGTTCAAGAGATTGAGGAAAAAAAAATTCATGAAAAAAGGTTTATATTATCATTAAAAGCCCAGAAATTCAAGAATTCATAAAAATTCATTAGGGATTACAAGAAAATTAGTCCTCCATGAGGATGAGTTTTACCATTACAAGATGAGAATAAAAAAAAATTAATGACATCAAGATAAAAATCAAAGAAAAGCAAGAAGAAATGGAAATTAAACTCTAAGTTAAACCCTTGGCTGTCACCCAAGGTTGACCTAGGCTCTGCAAAAGTATCCTAAAACCCTAAAATATCTCAAAGTAAAAGATTTTGCAAAAGTCTCTAACCCTCAATGGTAAAAATCTATTTATAGTAAACTTGACACCCTTCATAGTAATTACTATTGTTCATGATAGTAGACACGTGCAGCTCCAAGGATTTTCCTTCCTCTCTGTAGTAACTACTATTGCATATGAAAGTAACTACTATCGTTCATAGTAATCATGCACAACCTGCATCATTTGGAGCTTTTTGTAGTGATCACTATTACTTCTGAAAGTAGTTACTTTGACTTGTTCTTTGGAGTTGGCTTGCTGTAGTGGTTACTATGGTATTTGAAAGTAACTACTTTCACCTCATATTTTTCAAATAGCCAAAAATCTAAGGGAATTGCTTGAAAATTCCTGCACAATTATTTAAATGATCAAAATTGTAAAATATATTTTACAAAAATTAGTATAAATTAGATAAAAATTACGAAAGATATGATATTTAATCTAAATGGGATTTTTATGTATTTATCATTTCTAAGTCCATTTTTTCTATTAAAAATATATAAATAAATAAACAAAATATCTATAAATTGTGTATTCATCAACAAGTCATCAGCAAAAGCCAAGTGAGTAAACTCAGGTCTACCCCTAGAAACACGAATGGCCTTCCAAAGCTTAAGATTCATTGCTATCTCAATTTAATGGAACAATCTTTCCATATAGAGAACAAACAGATAAGGTGAGATTGAATCACCTTGTCTCACTCCTTGCAAGGGAGAAAATTCATCCAAAGCTTCCCCGTTCCACAACACATACATCTTAGAGGACGAAATATATGACCATATAAAAGACAAAAAGTTTTCTGGAAAATTGATATCCTGAAGAATATCCTTAACAAATTTCCAATTTAAGCAATCATAAGCCTTCTCGAGATCAATTTTAATAATCACCCACTCTTTGCTTCCAGACTTCTTCCGCATAAAGTGAATTACCTCCTGAAGTACAATAATATTATCCTTACTCTATTGATTTGGAACAAAACTGCATTGATTAGGTTTTACCACCTTTTCCATCACAGTGTGTAATCTTGTGGTTAGAATCTTAGTAAATATCTTATATGAAACATTACATAGACTTATTGGACGCATGTGCTTTAGCATAACAACATTCTCCACCTTAGAAATCAAGGTAATAAGCGTATTATTGACAGAGGCAATAGAGGCATGGTTTAACTCAAAACCATGAATTAGATTACATATCGATGCTCCCACAACATCCCATTGTGTCTGATAAAATACAACTTGCAACTCATCATTCCATAGAGCTTTGAAACCCACCATTCTACGCACAGCTTGTACAATCTTAATATCTTCAATTGGATCACCCAAGCTTTAACAAGATTGCTCATCCACCCAAGGAAAACTATCAAATAAACAGAATGAAGCACAAGATCTAAATTCGATAAAGAGCTTTTTATAATACCCTGTAACCATCTGTTCCAACTCGCCTTTATCAGTCACCCACACTTTATCCTTATTTTGCAACATAGTCAGTATTTCTTCTATGACGAGCTATAGTCGTACCTGAAATAATTTAGTATTTTTATCACCATGCTTAATCCATTTGCACCGCGATTTTTGAAACCATAACAATTCCTTGCACATCAAGATGGTCTCATAATCCTTCCATAGTTGACATTGTAGATCTTCTAAAAATGGATTCGCTTCAAGTGTTAACTTACAAGCAATACCGTTTAATCCTCATATCAACCATCGCTTCTCTAAAAAAATATTTTCAAACACAGTACGATTCCAATCTTAGAGGGTTTGAGTAAAGTGCACAATTCTGGAATTCCAAGCTATACCTTGCTTTCACTTTGACTTCACAACATCCTTAAAGTCATCATGTGTAAGCCACGCTGCCTGAAACCAGAAGGGACGTCTCTCTCTCCTAACTAGGCCACTATAATTAAGGTTCAACAGAATCGAATAATGATCTAATTTGAGCAGGTTAAGGTGAATGAGGTTAGCTTTTGGGAATGCTTGTCGCCAATCACAAGACTCCAAACATCTATCTTCAACTTGATTTGATCAACTTGAGGTTAATATTCTTGACTTGATCAACTTGATTCTAAGGGTTTTTTGCCTGTATAGGGTTAAATCAAAAACATTTTATCCGTATGGGGTTCTTTGAAAAAAAATTCCCTGTCTAGGGTGATTTTGTGAGTGTCGTAAAAAATGTTGGCGACACATGATCAAGTATCGGCTGAAAGAATGCCGACACAGGTGTCAGACCCGACTACTGAGAGCGGTTCAAAAGGAACCGCTCTCTAATATAGACATCTTAGAGCAGTTACTTTCAAACCGCTCTCATAAATCAGTTTTAGAGAGCGGTTAGAAAGTAACCGCTCTAAGAAGTGCATTTTAGAGAGCGGTTGTTATGGAACTGCTCTCTAAAATGGACTTTTGAGAGCGGTTCGAATTGAACCGCTCTCTAAAATGGACTTTTCAGAGCGGTTTAATTCGAACCGCTCTCAAAAGTCATGTTAGAGAGCGGTTCACACCAGTGTCGGGTTGTTCAGGACCGACACACACTGATTGGTTCAGGCCCTCCATCTTCTTCTCCTTTGTGCTTCTGGTTCTGTTATTCATCTTTTTCTGTGAAAAATTTTTGCAAATTGAAAACGCAGAGGTGGAGGTGGAGTGGAGAAGCAGGGCAGATAGATTGCATATTTTTAAAGCTTTGAAAGGTAAGAAAAAATATTATAGTGTATATTAGATATAAATATAAAATATTTATTCTTGCTTCCGTTTTTGGTCCCAGGAATATTGCAATCGGTGGTGGTCCAGGCTATTGTGAGAGGGACTTTCGGTGGTCCAGATTCTTAGCAAAAGGAGGTTAGTAAAAATTTATATTTATAGTGATTTTGTTATGCATGTAAAAAATAGGAAAATATGAATATAGAAAAATAGAAAAATAGGAATATAGAAAAATAAAAAAATAGTTAAATTAAAATATATAATTTTCTTGTTACTTATGTAAAATATAATTAAATAAGAAATATAAAAGAATTAAATTGAATAAATATATGAGGAAAAATTATGTGTGATTATTATTATAAGGTTAATAAAATATAAAATTATGAATAACAAAATCAAATTGAAATAATAAGAATGAAAAATATTAATTAATAAATTTATATTATAAGAATCTGCAGTTGTTAAATTTGTAATAATATTTCAACAAATATTATGTCACATAAATAAGAAATAGTAAGTAAATTAAAATTGTGAAAGATTAAAATATAGTTATGCATCAAATAATTATAAATTAGATTAATTTAAAAAAATTAGAGTAAAATATAAGGAATTAAGTGAAATAAAGATGAATATATAAGCAATGTAAGTTAAATAAAATTGAAAATATTATTTTAAAATATAAATGACTGAAAATAAAAATATTAGATCAATATTAATTTAGACATTTGAATATTTTAAAAAGTTTGTAGTTATTTAAATGATTTTAATCAATAATAATAAATTACAATTTTATGCATGTAAAAAAACAAAAAAAGGGAAAGAGAAAAATATGAAAATAATTAAATTAAAATTGATTTTTTGTTTTATTTATGTAGAAAACTGTATTTAAAAGTAAAAATGATGATGATATTATTATTGTTATACAAATATTATTATCTTAAAATAACAAAAAAATATAATTAGAAAAATATTATTTGAAGGTACAAATTGTTTAATACTAAAATGATATTGTTTTTATTAAATTTGGTTGCTTATATTATAAATTTGAAGTTAATAGTTTACTTGTTTATATATATAGATTTTAGATGGCATCATCTTCGTCTCTTAGTAGGGTGTTAAATCTCAGCCCCGAGGATGGTTCATTACTGTGGTATCAGTCTATTCATGTTTTAGAGCATATTTGGGATGGTCGTGAACACCCAATATTGAGAGTGAGAAGAGGTCATTTCATACATGCTGGCATGGAGGGAGTACCAGTAGAGATTATTCCTCATTTGACAGTAGCAGGATTTGCTGGAGTAGCACAGTTGGCTAGTATTCCTATTGACCGCCAATTGATTACAGCGTTGGTAGAAAGATGGAGGCCAGAGACCCACACATTTCACATGCCCCCTGGAGAGTGTGCTATTACTCTTCAAGACATTGCTATTCAGATGGGTCTTCGTATTGATGGAAGACCAGTTATTGCCCCTACAGGAGGTGACAGGGCACAAATTGTTGAAGATTTATTGGGAATTAGACCACCTAATTCTGCATTTATGGGAAGCAGCTTGAAACTTACTTGGTTGGATGAGCATTTTTCTCATGTTGGGTTGCACAACCAAAATCCCATTCAGCTAACTCGCTTTGCAAGAGCATATATTTTGAGACTTATTGGTGGGTTTATGTTAGCTGATCATTCTAGTAGCAGGGTCCCAGTTAGGTACCTTCCTTTACTTGAGGATTTAGAGATAACTGGACAATATAGTTGGGGAAGTGCAGCGTTAGCCTTCCTATACAGAGAGTTATGCATGTCCACGAATATTGATCGGTCTGGTATTGGAGGATTGACTCCACTTGTGATGCTGTGGGCGTGGGATAGGTTCCCATTTCTATCTCCGGGTGATCCCCCTTACACACAGAATGATCTACCTGTATTATAGGCTTGCAAAACTTGAAGGCTTCACGACATTGCCTAAACGACCAAAATACTCGATGAAAAACTCTGAATCTATTATCCATTACATTACCTCTCACATAATCATTGGTCTCAATTTTGTAAACTGACCCTGGAGCATGTAATTGCATGTATTCTAACCATCTTGGTAATGTTGCATAAGATTCATCCCAATCACCAAATATTGTCACAATTGCTTTTTGCTTTGCTTTCCATGCTTTTTTGTATGAAACTGAATACATAAATTGGCCACTTATTCTCTCTTGGATTAATGAAACGGGAACAGAAGGTTCTTCTTTGACCATACTTGTCAATAAAATTAAACAATACATCTCAGCTAATGATCATATCCAAATCATTTTAAATAGACAAATAAATATAATCTCAATTGAGTTTCACGTACCAATAATGCATGAACAAATAAAATTTGAATCTAACTTTTTGTGGTCTTGAGAAATCATAGTATTAACGCAGGTATGCATACCACCCCATCTCGTAATTTTCCACTTATTTGAATTTTTGGGTAGCAATGCTCTTACTTTCCAAGGACACCCAGAAATATGATTCACACACTTGACAAAATGAGTTGATGCTTTTGATTCAACCACAAAAAAAGTTTGATGTTTCTTCATTGTATAATGTTTTATCGCCATCTTTACCTCCTCTTTAGAGTCAAATAGTTGTCCAACATATAATGCATCTCCTTGTACCCATGATTGTGACGAATGCAACTCCGAAAAATCCAATTCTTGATCAGGATGTTCCCAATTAATAGCAGTGTAGTGTGAACTTATGTTCCAAAAAGGTGTTATAGAATATGTATTAAACTCAAGAAATGTTAGTAAAAAATATTTAACAATTATTGTATTATATAAAATTGTACCTGCAGATTGTCCTTACATAATGTTATTTTTTCAGTGTTTGGAACTGTCATCATTGAATCGAAGCCATCTTCCAAATCAGTATCAGAAGAACTATCTAAAGGAATTTCTCCTTCATCTTCATAGTCATCATCGTACTCATCTTCGTCATCTGTAGATGCAGCAGCAAATATTTATTAATAAATTATAAAATTTTAAACATCATATAATTTAAATAAATATTATACATTACCTCCTCCAATTGCATACTCTTCTTCATTGTCACTAACAGACACAGTTGGGAGTGATACATTTAAACATAACAAACTTTCACCTACATGAGAAGTTTCACCAACCGCAATATCCACATATAACTCAACTACTCTTTCATGCCGTTCTTGACAAGCACTTATCATACAGTCAATGTCTTCATCATCACATACATCTAAAATTGTGTAATTTCCACTCCTTGAATCAACTAAAATTCGTGAAATTAGTCTAGAAATTACATTACTATTGCACAATCTCAATTTTGTATGTATTTTTTTTTCAACATCTCAAAAGTAATTCCACGTTCTATTTTAATCATTTTCTTATTTCCTTCAAATATGATACCCTCATTTCCTTCATACACTCTTCCATTCCAGTATAAAATAACCACAATTTCAGTCATCCTGTGTATCAAATTAAAAAATACAACCAAAATTATTGCAAAAGTTTACCTAAACAAATAGTAACAAAAATAATTACCACAACATTAAAATAATATATTTTTACATTTATATTTTCAATAATATTATATTAACATTAAATAAATTAAATTTATTACTACAAATATTTTTATTTTTATTTATTTATAATAATATTAAAATTATTAATTCAAATTTATTTACAATAATAAAAAAATTTAAAACAATAAATTAATAACATTCTAACCTTTTTCTTCTAGCAGAACAGCTCACAATTGCGGAACTCCTCTCCTCACAATTGCGGAACCCCTCTCCTCACAATTGCGGAATGCAGCAGCAGAATACACCTCGGCGTCTGCCTATATATTGCGTTTGATGAGAGGAGACAGAGATAGTGTCGGCATTCTTTCAGCCGATACACAAGTGTCGCATAAATTTAACCGACACACATGACTTTTGAGAGCGGTTCGAATTGAACCGCTCTCAAAAGTCCATTTTAGAGAGCAGTTCCATAACAACTGCTCTCTAAAATGCACTTCTTAGAGCGGTTTGAAAGTAACCGCTCTAAGATGTCTATATTAGAGAGCGGTTCCTTTTGAACCGCTCTCAGTAGTCAGGTCCGACACCTGTGTCTGCATTCTTTCAGCCGATACTTGATCATGTGTCGTCAATATTTTTTACGACACTCACAAAATCACCCTAGACAGGCAATTTTTTGTCAAAGAACCCCATACGGATAAAATGTTTTTGATTTAACCCTATATAGGCATACCAACATTAAGACCAATCACCGTACGAGGGTTGACAGGAGTCGCCACTTTTTCTTTTGAATTAGCTCCATGTTCAATCCCATGTTGCATGACTTTCTTCAAATTCTTTGGACTTGCCACCTCACCCTTGTGTGGATTACTTTAGATGTTACATCCTCCTTCCACGATACGAATCCTAGAAGTAACTACCTCCTTCTGTTTGGGCAACCGATTGGAGATTGGCACTATCTATTAAGTTTGAATTCAAATCCTTCTCGGGATTTAATTGAGAAAATCGCGACCCATCTGCATCATCTCATATTTTCAATGTAACTTTCTTCTTCTCTCGATTAGCCACATTATGGTTATTAACTACCATATGGCTCTTTTTCTGGCCCTTCTTAACAATCATCCAGGAGCCATATGGTCCATCTGACTCACATCATTCGCATTATTCGCACCCATATTCGGACCAGGGTTGACGTCAACATTATGGTTGGGCTTATCACCATCCATCTCCATTGATGTTTCAACATGCATCGTGTCTGCTGTACCCTCTAACTCTTGATACATGTTACACTGAGTATGCTTGTGACCATACTTCTCTCAAATAAAACATTTCGAGTGCAAACCTTTATATTCCAGCTTGAGAATATGTCTAAGAACGTTGATTTGTGTCACTAATGTTTTTGTAATGTCAACCTCCACACAAATTGTAGCAAAACGTCCCCTGGATTGAATCGAAGTAAGCTTATCAATTTTAAACTTATCATTGAACAGCTCAATTGGCAACCCTAAAATCCTTATCCAAACAACAATTTTGCACACTTTCTTCTCTTTAAGAGTGAAAAATAGCCTCCATCTTTGGACCACAATATAGTGGTCTGCTATCATACAAGGCCCTTCAAACAAGGCATGTTTATAATCTTCTTCAGTAATGAATTGGACTAGATAGAAATCCTGCGACATATCAACAATGCGTACTGCCCCCGCCTTAGCCCATTCCTGTTGAATTTTATTCTCAAGCATCTGAAAGGCAACCTATTTACCCAGTACATGGACCACCAATGAATTCTTCCATGGCTTGCACCATTCCTCAAATTCCTCCTACGCAATCGAAATGGTAAGACATGAGTCCAACTCCAGTGAATCATCTTCAGACACCTTAGCATTCTTATAGCATTCTTCTTCTGATGCCTCGATCTCTTTCATAAGGCTATGAAGGTCAGTAAAGGTCTCGACTCCATCAAAGAAAAGACTATCCAAATATGACTTGGACTTTTTTTTCCCATTCCCCTGTTACTCACCGTCAGCCCCGGCCTCATCATGAATGTCATCATCATCACAGGAACACTTCTCTCCAAAACCTTAACACTCATCATGAAATATTTTTAATATTATTTGTACACGTAGAAGATAAACCTTTTAATAATTTTATATACGGGTGTTTCTATCAATTTATAATCATCAAACTTCAAATATGACGTAACCTATATCAAGTATTTTAAACCAAATAATGACACACATAAATTATATTTGTAACATTATATAGTTTTTATTAACATATCTTACATTTATTTATCTACATGTCATTATTTAATTTGAAAAGTTGATTATAAATATATAATGCGCTTATCTAAATTTTGTCATGTTAATAATGAAATTATATATATGTATATACTAAGATGAAAAATGTATAATAAAATATTATTTTGCACTTAAACAGATGTACTCTTATTTATTATACAAGGAGTGGATGAATATATAGTTAATATTTAGTTTTATTTTTTATTTTTTTTAAAATTATCTGTATTTTTTATGAGAGATGATTTTATTTGAACCGAAAATATTTTTGACATAAAAAATTATTTTCTCTAATAAAATTTTTCATTAAATATATTATTTAAATTTAAAATCTTAATTACTTTATGAATCATAGGCATGAAGTGTCTAAACTAACCACCCATTGATATTTTATCTCTTTATAGAAAAAAGTGTATTGAAATCAAACTTTTCCATTTTCATTTTTCATTGAATAAAAAAATTATGAATAATTAAAATGTTAATAACTTTATTTTTTTTAAAAAAAATCTTATAACTATTTTGGTGCAAAAAAGAAAATGAGAAATTGCTAACCTTAAGCTGTAGAGAACTAACAATTTCCTATGCTTATATAGAGAAAAAAAAATGTCAATTTCAGATTTAAATAATGGTTTTCTACGAAAAAAAATAAATTCCAGCACTATATAAACTGTAACTCTATCTTTAGAATTATAATCGCCTAATCTCCATCTTCAAAGAGTACTCTCGTTCTTTCCTTATATTTTATTTTTCTAGCATGAAAATCTTTAAAATATTGAATAATAAATATATAAATATTTCAAAAAGGGATTTGATAAAAGAAGAAAAAAATAATTAAACTATATATTAGCTAAATAAGCAAAGATCAAATTTCCTTTTTTAAAATAAATTAAGTTTAAGAATTAAATTTATCCTGTTTGAATAAACGAGTCACTAGCTCTTAACCATTTAAAAATAAATAAAACTGTACCCTAGACATGTGCTTTATATGCTTCTTAATTTTTGTATTATGAATTATAATGAGGTGGAGTCTAGCCAATTTGGGTGCACCTCTAACATGATTGACCGTGTGATTAAGACAATCAGAATCCAAATACATAAAATTAT